GGTATGCCTGGCTCGTGGGCACCTCTCTTTCCACTCACCCCCGTGCAGATGTCCATTGGCAAGGGGTCGCAGTTTGTCCTGTTCTCTTTCGCTCTCTATCTCTCTCGGTCTCTCTATCCCCCTCACTCTCGTTCACCCTGTCTCTCTCTCTCTCTCTCTCTCTCTCTTATTCGCCCACACAAGTTTTCTCTCTCTCTCTCGATCTCTCTTTTGCCATGTCTTTATCGCGCTAGGTTTATCTCTCTCTCTCGTGTTATGTGTGTCTCTCTCTGTCCCTTGTTCAGTATGTATGTATGTATGTCTGTCTGTATGTCTGTCTGTCTGTATGTATGTATGTATGTATATATGTATCACTCTCTCTCTCTCTCGTTCTCTTTCTCTCTCTCTCTCTATCTCTTTCGTCATTTCTCTCTTGCTCTTTGTGTGTCTCTTTCTCTCTCCTTCTCTCTCTCCTTCGCTCTTTCGCTGCCTATGGGTCCCTGCTTTTTTTTTTTTTCTCTCTCTCTCTCTCTCTCTATCCAACATTCTCTCTTTCTCTATCCCTCCTTGGTTGTCCCTCTCTTGCACACCCGCCCCCTCCTCGTCACGGCCATTGCTGGCATCGGAATCCCTTCGTGAGGCTTGCAGCTGCCTAGCGGCGAAGAGAGAGATAGAGAGAGAGGGGAGAAGCGAGGCGGCTCACGGCGGATTGACGAGGAAGATGAGCGGAAGCAGCGAAGAGGGGCTGAGCACAAATTACCTCCCAGCATGGTGCTAGTAACTGCGCAATGACGCCGATGCCACTGGCATCTCAAGAATAGATGAACTAGCATACCATCTGGAACGCATTGTACAACAACAACCGAACCGGCATCCATCCAAGGGTCACGCGTGTGAGAGGGACAAGTCGATCGCACAAGGATCTGATAGGACTCGCGATGGTACCACGCGTGTCAAAGAGGTGACAGGCTTGCTGTGTTTACTCCTGGTGCGCTGCAAGAACACAAAGCGCGTTGAAGTGTAGCGCGACGCCATGTTGATTCCAGACCAATGCCAGAACCCTTTGGCAAGGTACATCAGAGTAGCGCCCAACTGGCCCATCAATCAAAAGCACTCGTGAGACTCCCCAGCATATTCAAGGAGGAGAAAGACGAGGATTTAGAGAAAGGGGGAGAGGGCAGACAGGGGGTACTTAACCAGTGTTTGTGCTGAAATTGCTGTTCTGTGCACTGGGACACTGCTGCTGTCGTCGACGCTGGCGCTTTGCGATACGAAATTGGAACTGTTTCTCTACAAAAAGATGTTGTCACCCTTGGCACTCGTGCAAGGTATCCCAACTTGGCAACACGCTTATCTATCTAACATGTTAGCCAGCGTGGATCCTAAGCAATGGTTTCTCGCATTCTAGGTGATGCACTCTACGTAGTGCGAGCTATGTGGTGTAAGCTATGTGGTGCAAGCTAGGTGCTGCAAATGATGTGGCGCAAGCGATGCAGTGCAATCCAAGTGCTGCAATGTATGAGGTGTCATCTGTGTGGTGCAGGCTATATGTTGCAAGCTATTGTGGTGCAGGCTATGTGGAGCCAACGTACTGATCTAGCTGGTGTGAGCCATGTGGTGCAAGCTACGCGGTGCAATCTATGCGGGTGCGAGCTGTGTGGTGCAGTCTACGCGGTGCGATAGATGCGGTGCGACCTGCGCGGCGTGAGCTGCGCAGTGCAACATATGTGGGGGGGGGGGCGGCACTTCATGTGGTGCAATGCAAGCTACGTCGTGCAATCCAGAGTGCAATCAATGCTATGCAAATCTGTGCTGCGTGAGCTATTTGGGGCAAGCTAGAGGATGCAAACCATGCGGGGCCAACGTACTCATCCAGCTTGTGTGAGAAATGAGGCGTAAGCTATATGGTGCAATTGACTTTTACCCATGATGTGACACATCTCATGCTCTTGCAAACATCCCACCCACCCACCCGCAACTTGTTTTGCAAAACCTCTTAAGACCGTGACGGTAGGTTCCACATGGCACTTGGCAACGACACCGGCGCCGACGACGACGACGACGACAACGCCGACGACGATTACGACGACACCGACGACGACTACGACGACTTCGACGACGACGACGACAACGAAGATGACGACGACGACACCGACGACGACGACGACGCCGACGACGACGACAACGACGACGACGATGACGACGCCGACGACGACGACGACGCCGACGACGACGACGTCGACGACGCCGACGACGACGACGTCGACGACGACGACGACGACGGCGGCGGCGACGACGACGCCGACGTCGACGACGACGACGACGACGCCGATGCCGACGCCGACGCCGACGACGACGACGACGTCGCCAACGAAGACGACGACGACGACGAGCGAGGAGGGAGCACGACGACGGCGACAACGACGACAACGACGAGGGAGGAGGGAGGACGGCGACGACGCGAACGACGAAGAAGGAGGGAGGACGGCGACGCCGACGACGACAGCGACGAGGGAGGAGGGAAGACGACGACGACGACGACGACGACGACGACGACGACGACAGCTGGCGACGAAATAAGAGGGACGACGACGAGACGCCGACGACGGACGACGACGACGACGAGGGAGGAGGAAGGACGACCACGGCGACAACGACGACGGAAACGACCACGACGCCAAAGAGGACGACGAGGACGAACACAAGGAAAGACAGAGGACGACGTAGGCGATGACGACGACGACGACGCGGGAGGAGGGAGGACGGCGATGACGACGACGACGACGACGCAAGAGCGCGCGCGCACGCTTTTGTTGAAAATCCGTGTTGCGAAGCCTTGTGTTTTTGTAGGTTTTTTGGACACACGATTTTGAAATCCTTCCGAAACCTATGGGTTTTGAAGGATTTCGGCATACGCGCGCGACGACGCGCGCGTCTGCTGTTCGTCCCATTTGTTGCAAAGGACTCTCGCGACGGCGTTCGACAGATTTCGACATGCGCGCGCGCGAAGCCCGTTTGGTAGCATTTGGTGGAAATCTTGAAAAACCTGCGGTTTCCTTAAGATTTCGCAAGAGCTCGCGCGTAAGCTTTTTTAGCAAATCAGTGTTGCGGAACCCTGTGTTTTGTTTGTTTTTCGGAAACTCGATTGCGAAATCCTTCCGGCACCGAAGGTTTGTTTAAGGATTTCGGCATGCGCTCGCGACGACGCGCGCGTGTGCACTTCGTCACATGTTTTGAAAGGGATTCGCGAAACAGTGCTATGTTAGAAGAAAAAATGTCACCGCATTGTGTTTTTTACAAGGGAACCTCAAGGGGGGGAACCCGGTTGGCCCGGGACATTGTGATTTCATATTTAGGATGGATCGTAATCACACACGGCCAAAGGCGCTGAAAGTGATTGAAACAATCAGCGCCCCCAATGTGAATGTTTCCATATATATATATATATATATATATATATATATATATATATATATATATAGATGTGTAGATCTAATCACTCTCATCGACGAAATCGCACATTTGGCCCAGGGCACTGAATGTGAGCGAAACAATCAGTACCCCTCAATGTAATTGTTTTAATCACATTAGGCCCAGGGCCCTGAATGTGATTGAAACAATCAGAACCCCTGTGTGATTGAGGGCCATATATTGAAACAGTCGTGGTTTAGGGCGCCGTGAAGAGGGCAAGGGGCTTGGGCGGAGATGAGCAAAAGAGGAGGAAAGGTAGCGCGTGGCGGGGGGGCGATGGCGGGGGGGCGCTAGAGGGGCGGGGGGTATCTGGGGAGCGCCTGGGAGGGGGGCAAAAAAAAATGATGGGCATGCAGATTTTTTTGTTGTTGCTCCCCCCCCCTCCCCCCCAGGCAGCGCCGCGGACGATAGGGGGGGAGCGTTCTGGCCTGTCATCCTTTCCTCCCTCTCCCACTCCCTCCCTCTCCCCCCCCCCATGCCGCGCCGCTCCCCCTCTCTCTCTCTCTCTCTCTCTCTCTCTCTCTCTCTCTCTCTCTCTCTCTCTCTCTCTCTCTCTCTCTTTCTCGATCTATATCGCCCTCCTTCTCACCCCCACCAGCGTTGCAACGCGCACCTCGGAAGTAAATCGTGCCGCGCGGCGGCCCCCCAGACCGCCACCCCAGAATCCCCCGTTCTCCAAATAAGGAACCCTTGCAACCCTTAATTTGTTGTTATCTATGTGGGCGCCGAGCGGGCTCGGCGGTTTCATGCGTAAATTCTCCAATCAGCGCGCGGCTAGCCCCGCCGCGCGGCGTGCGCGGGCGGCCGCCGACCCCGCGGCTCTCTCGCGCCCGCGGGCCGCCGCAGCAACTGCGAAGCCGCGGGCGCAGAGGGCGCCCTCGAGCCCTGGGCGGACCTGCCGCGGCTCTTCGGCCTCCGCCCGCGGGGCCGCCGCGACCAGGCGCCGCGGCGCCGCGGCGCACGGCGGCGCAGCCGCCTGGCCCCCATCGCCAGCCGCAGGTGGCGGGGGCGGGGCGGCCGCAGGCTGCCGCTGCGATGGCACGGGCGCCGCCGCGAGCGCCTGCTCCTCCGCCCCGTGGCCCAGCCTGGCCTGGAGCGCCGTCGCCCAGCACCGGCGCGTGCTCTCCATCGGCGGGGCCAGCGGCGCGAACGGATCCTTGGACGCAGGCAGGGTGCCCCGTGCGAAGTCCGTCCGCGCCTGGGCTCGGGAGCCCCTCAGGGACTTGGGCTGCCCAGCCGCCGCGCTGGCCCCACACGGCATGGCCAGGCCGCGACGCGCGCGCCTGGGGAGGCGGCAGTACCCCCAGCACGCTGAGCAGACCAGGGGGGGCTCCGAGCCGTTGCCCTCGACGCGCGACCCCCGTATGAGGTGGCCGTAGACCCACAATCCCGCTGGACGGGCCGCATCAGCCGCCACTTCAGGGGCTGGGCCGCTGCAAGCCGCCGCTGCCGCCGCCCGCCGCGGGCTGGGCGCGGGCGCCGAGGCATCGCGGCGCCTCGACTGCTCCTGCACCCTGCGCTGGGGTGCTCGGCGCAGCACCTCCGCGGGCCTATCGGCCGAGGCGGGGCGGCGCCTCGCGGGCGACGGCCGCGAGCAGGAAGCGGCCGCTGCCGCCACTGCTGCCAGGGCCGCCGCCGTGGCGAGGAGGGGGCCGCCGTCAGTCGCCGCGGCCTGCGCCTCGCCGTCGCCAACGTCAGCCTCCGCGACGGGCAACTGCATGTTGCCAGCCGCTGACACGAGAGGCCCGCGCACCTCCGCGTCGTGCAACTTCCCGAACTCGCCGCGCCCCTGGGACTGCGACTTCGGCGGGCTGAATCCACCTGTCCCAGGGGCGGGCTCCGCCGCGGCGGCGTGCAGGAAGACGACCTCGCCGTCGAACTCTGCCACCAACTCGGCAGCTCGCAGCAAGTCGGCGGGGCTGCGACCTTGCCACCAGCCCCCCCAGGCAGGGCAGCTGCGGTGGCGGCGGGCCAGGGCCCCGCTCTCCTCGCCGCGGAGCTGGCACAGAGTCGCAGGCCTGGCGTCGTACTCCTGGACCGCTGCCTCCTTCCTGTCCTTCTCCTTGGCCTTCTCCGCAAAGAGGGCGGAGGAGTACCGCAGGGCGAAGCAGCAGAACTCGTCCTGCTGGTAGTCGCCGTCGCCGTGGAGGCCCCTGTGCGACGCCAACGCTCTTTCGATCGCCCGCAGGAAGGCCTGCCCTTGCACAGTGGGCACCTGGGTCACCTCTTTCAGCGAGACGAGCTTCTTGTCTTCGAACGCGGTGCTGCCCGCCTGCTCGAACTTGTGCCCCAAGCTCCCGGCCACCTGCACCAGGTGCTTCATGTAGCCTACGTGCCCCACAGGGGGGGGAGCAGCCCGCAGCAGCCGCTCTGAGCTGCCTGGCGACCCTCCCGAGGCGGAGTCGGCAACTGGTGAGGGGGCTGAGCTTCCTGACCGCCTTCCTGCGCTGCTGGTCCGCCAGCTTCTTCTTGACAGAGCGGGGCCCTTTGGCCCTGCCCTGGTACCACTCACCCTCGGAGATGCCGAACTGGTCGGTCAGGTGGAGCTCCGCGGTCTCGACGGACTCCTTGAGCCTCCTGAACGGGATCTCGAGGTAGGCGCTGACCTCCGTGACCGCGAGATCACCGAAGGCCACCCTTCGGGCCAGGATGCGGGCACTGTGCTGGTGCCCGTCGTGGTCGGTCGCCGCCACGCCCCAGGTCGTTGGCTCCAGCACTCCGACGCCCTCCGAGCCCGCCTGCGCCGCCTGCCCCGTGCTGTGGACGCTGCCGAAGGCGGCGCTGAAGCTGTTGCTCCTGGCCCAGCAGCAGGCGTTGGCCGCCTTCTGGCTATAAGCGCATCGCCTCTCCTGCGCCAGGATGACGTCGTCACCTCCTCCATCCTGGATCCGCTCCATCTCCACCTTCTTCTCTGACCAGGTCGAGACGTTCAGCGTGACGAAGCAAGTTGGCTTCGGCCCCGTAGGCCTGATTTGCTTGGCCAGCTGGAGGGGCTTGGCCTGCGGTCGCCCAGGCTGAGGCTGGGCCGCAGGCTGCTCGGTTGCCGCGGCGGCCGCGGGGCCGCCAGGCGGGCGGCTGCTCGCCGCCTTGGGGCTCCGAACCTCAGGGGGTCTCACGCCCTCGCCCGTAGCCTCGTCAACTTGAATTGGGTACCCACTATGGCATGTGGGCCCCTGGCTGGGCTGAGGACTGCCAGTCCTTCGGTCGGGCCCAGCCAAGCCAGCCGCAGCCGTTGGTTCTGTCCTGCTGCTGAGCGCCTCGAACTTGGCGTCGCGGCGCACGACGCCGAAGCGCCGTTCCTGGCGCAGCAGCGGCACAATGAGGGGAAGTTCGACCCAGGCGTCGGTCGCCACGTTGGCCGCCTTGTAGGCGGGCAGGCCGCCACCCGGCGCCGCCGCCGCCTCTGAGCGGCTGGGCGCCGCCGCCTCTGCCCCCTCAGCCCCAACAGGGGCGGGCGGCGCCGCGCTGTCGGGGCCGCCGCCTGGCAGCAGGGTGCTACGCGCGGGCCAGGCCGCTGCCAGCAGCAGCGCCAGCAGGAGGTGGAGGGGCCGCCGCAGCGGCCTTCTGGTCGGCAGCGCGCTGGCGGGCCGCCTCGTCTGCCGCTCGGCTCTCCATCGCTGCCGCTGGGGGAGTCCCAGCTCCAGGCGCAGCGTCTGCGGCGGGGGCGGCGGGGGCAGCAGGGGCGGCCGCCTGCCCTGCAGGCTGCGGCGGGGCGCCCGCGCCCTGCACGGGGGTGCCAGGGGCCACGGCTGCTGCAGGCCCCTCCTCGGTGCGCTTGCGCTTCTTGGCCACCTCCTCCGCGATCTGGCGCTTGATGCGCTGCTGGTGCTCCTGGCAGTTGCGCTCGAACGTAGCCTGCGCGCCCTGCATGATCTGGAGCCCCTCATCGCAGAGGCGCCTGAGGGCGGCCTGCGCCTCCTCCTCCAGCTCGGCGAAGTTGTCAAACGACTCCGCGTCAAAGTTGAAGGTGAGCTGCCTCGCGCCGTCGGGCTGGGCTCCCACGACGCCCGCCGCTTGGGCACGCTGGCGCAGGAGGGCGTTCTCCTCCTCCTTGGCCTCCGCGAGGCTGCCCGCAGCCTCGTCACGCCAGCCGCGGCATTCAGCGAGGTGGTCCTCCGCCGCCACGAGCGCGTCCGCCGCCTCATCCAGCTGGCGCTGGAGGTTGATCCGCTTCGCCGTGGCCGACTCCATACGTTGCTCGAGCGGCTTCGGCACTGGGGCGACCGCGGGCGCGACATAGCTCCGCGCTTCGCGGACCGCCTCCTGCAGCCTGGCTGCGATGGCTGGGTCCCCACAGGCGAGGAGCGCGTCGAGCTCGCTCTCGGGCAGGGCCGACCAGGGGGCCCTCGGGAAGGCGCCTCCGCCACGGCAGCCCGCGCCACCTCCGCCGCCGCCACGGGAGACTGCACCGCCGCCACCACGGTAGGCCGCACCGCGGCCCTTGCCGCCCTTGCCGTCCTTGGCTCCATACTTCGGTGGGCCTCCGCCGCCGCCGCCGCGATGTGCGAGATGGGGTCCGCCGCCGCCACCGTCCGCCCAGACCCCAACGCGGGGCGAAGGCTTCGAGGGCGCCAGCTCCAGCCCGATCCCGCACAGCCAGCACTTCGCGTTCGAGCGGAAGTTCCAGCGGTACCGGCAGCCCGTGCACACGACGAAGCCAGGCACGGCCTTAGGCCCCATCGCTGGTACGGTCGGGCGCGCTGCTCAGCTGCGGGCAAGCAGCAGGCAAGAGACGGCAGGGGCGGACCCGCCGACTCAGAAGAAGACTTGACCCGCAGGTCCTGGAAGGTGCTGCTGTGGCAGCTGACACACTTAGGAAAGGAAGGTGGCCTCAAAGCGGAACCTCCCTCGCGCTCAGAAGTCGCCCCGAAAGACTCGCGGTCGTCGGGACGGTTCATGGCCTTGAGCCAAAATGGCTACGGACTGCAACCCTTAAATTGGATACGGAACCCTTGCACAAGGAATCCTGACACAACAAACCCTTAAACCCCTTAAAAAGGGAACCCTTGAAACAAGGAGCCCTTGAATAAGGAATCCAGGGTCTGGAGGCCAGTGCAACTCCAACGGAGGCTTGGCCATGGATATTGCCACCGCCCTCCTCAGATAAGGAACCCTCCAGGGTCTGGAGCCTCCCAGGCACATTCCTTAACCAACGCCCCCAACACCGTATACTAGGACCACACGCGCGCGCTTCGCGCGCGCTTCGGTTCCAGGGCAGCCCAACCCAATCGCACGGGATCGGATAAAAATGGGCATCAGCCCGTAAGGATCACCGTACGGGAGCGTGCTTCCTGATGGCAGCTTCAGGGGTCGCTGAATGACCAGGGCCCTAAGATATCCTGCTGTCCTGAGTAGGTACACCCAGCAGTTGCCCGAAGGTAACTTTTGGAAGGCTTCGGGAGTCTCGTGGCCTGTCGACCGTCTTCAGCGGTCTTGAAGATCTCCTGAGCGTCTCGAGGGCCCCTCGAACCCTTGGTAACCCTGGGGGCCAACGATATGGGGCAACTCAAACCATCTAAGGTCTGCCAAAGTCAGTCGAAGCCATATTGGACGCGGCCTTGGAGTCCGTTGGACCGCTCCGTGCCTTGCCGGGAAGCGTTAAGATGTAACACGATACACGGTACCAGACAGATGACGCGGCTCACTCTTCTAATCGAGGCAACGTCCAGCACGACTGAGCCACTAATGATGATGATGGTGATGATGGTGATGATGATGATGCTGCTGATGATGATGTTGTTGTTGTTGATGATGATGATGATGATGCTGATGCGGATGATGCTGATGCTGATGCTGATGCTGATGCTGATGATGATGATGATGCTGCTGCTGCTGATGATGATGATGATGATGATGATGATGATGATGATGATGATGATGATGATGATGATGATGATGATGATGATGATGATGATGATGATGATGATGATGATGATGATGATGATGCGTGCAAGGCGATTCCCCCAGCTGTTCTCTGGACAGCGCCAGGGAAGAGGCTCAAGGAAGGCGCGCAGGGCAGCCACGTGGAGGACCCAGGGCAGCCTCGGGAGGGGTGCCCGAGGGCCCCCTAAAAGAGCCTGGCAGAGCCACGCTGGGATTCTCTTGGGATGCCCTGGCCATCGCTCGGACGTCCATTCCCTGTTTTTTCTGTTTATTGCGTGGCTTTTTTCGCCAAGTGATCAGGGATGCTCCTCGATGGTCCTCGCCGAACGAAAAAGTGCACACGTCCGAGCGATGCCACGTGCCTTTGGGAGGCGTTCTGGGAGGGCTCTCGGGGGGTTCTGGTGGGTGGGGTCTCTTGAGTTTCTGTCGGGGGTCCCCTGGTGGCCTCTTGAGAGCTCTTGGGCGCGCCTCGGGGGCCTCCCGGGATCTCTTGGCGTCTGGGCTAGATATGTCGAATGGGGTCGGCCTCGCAACGAGAAGCTTTGATGAATTCCCTGTTTGGTCACACTGGGTCTCCTACCACATAGTGGAGCAGGATGCTGGACGAGAGAAGCCGAGGGAGAAATGAGTGAAGAAGAGATGAGGACGAGGGATGGGAGAGACGGAATCGCACGAGGGAGGCGGAGAGAGAGGAAGGCGTGAGGGCGAGACGAGGAGCAGGGAGGAGGGAGAATGACGCAGCGGGGAGGAGAGGGAAGGAGAAGAGGAAGGAGACGAATGTGGAACGGGAGACGCGAGAGAACCAAGAGCATGAGAGAGAGGGAGAGAGAGAGAGAGAGATAGACAGAGAGAGCAAGGGGAGAGAGAGAGAGAGAGAGAGGGAGAGAGAGAGAGAGAGAGAGAAAGAGCAAGGGGAGAGAGGGAGAGAGAGAGAGGGAGAGGGAGAGGGAGAGAGAGAGGGAAAGAGAGAGAGAGGGAGGGAGAGAGAGAGGGAGCAACGAGGGAGAGAGAGAGAGAGCGAGACAGAGAGGGAGAGAGAATGAGAGCAAGGGGAACGGACAGCGAGGGATGGGGAAAATGGAAACGCACTCTGGGAAACGGGGGGGCGAACTTGACAAGCAAATACCTGAGGAAATTCATGTTTTTTCAAGTTGCTTCTGGTGCCCCCCAAGAGCACCCAAGATCGCCGCAAGAGGCCTCCAAGAGTCATCCAAGAGCTCTGGGGAAGCCCTGCAGGCCAAAATATTTGCAATGACCAGAAAGGAAGTTTGAAACTTGTGTGTTCTCGCACTTCCGCCTCCGATGCGCCTCCGAGGCTTGCGCATGCCCCCGTAGGCCGCCCGGGACTCTCCTGGGGGCCTCTTGGGCGCTCTTGAGGGCCTCTCGGGGCCCTCTTCGGCGCTGGATGCCTCCAGGGCGGCTCCTGGGAGCTCGTTGGGGCCTGCTCGGAGCGTCTTTGGGGCCTCGATGGTGCTCCTTTGGGCATCATTGG